GGGGGGGGGGAAAGTGAATTAAAGAAATGGCAAAACCCAGATCTGTAATGTGTGGGGGGGGGGGGGGGGTACCCGGGTATGACAACCTTTACTCATTTCCTCCTGCGGCTCATGAAAAATGCATTTTGGGTATAATTTGATAGTTTGTATGCAGAGCTATTCACAGAAGTATAGATTTCTTGCAGATTGTTGAAGAAATCATGTGGCCTGGATTGCAGCCTTTTTTTTTTTTCCTCGCCAGGCTGAGCTCCGTTTTGCACACACAGCCGGTCACTGAGGATTAGTTCGACTCCGAGGCTAAAATAGCCAGACCCAGAATAGACGTTTTTACTTCTCACAAATGCAAGCGAGTTGCAACGAGTCAGTATTTTCTTGCCATTTCAATTCTATCTTTGTCGTTGCTCGCCGTCATGGGAATCATTTGTAACTCAAGAGAAACTGTGGGTGGGTGAACAATTTGGGTGGAAGTGTGTAATTGTGACCAGCCTGAAAAAGTCTCCTGAAAGTTACGTTTCCCAGGCGATGAAACTGTATCGCCAATTATGCTTTGAGGGAAACATGTCTTGTCCCGGATTACCTTTGTTTGATTTATCCATCCAGATTTTGTGATGCGTCAAAAAGAAACAAACACAGGACTTTCACCCAGGAGGCCGCTGTTCGTGTACCAACAGGTCAATGTTGACTCGTCTTAGTTTGCGTCTGTAACTTAAACAACTTAACGAACAGGCTTATTATAGTAGTTTTGTATCTGTTTTCAAACTGCAACCATAATCTGGAAGATAACGTAATTGCTGTTTAGCTGTATGGGAGTGTCCATTTTGTAGCAGACAAGGCTTTGCAGCGCAATGACTATTTCACCACAGCGATGAGTCCTCCTCGATTACTCATGTCAGTCTGTCAGGTTTGTTTACCGTCTCAGTCGAAGGTAAAAAAAAATGTTGAAATGATCCACCCCGCCCGTGCTCGATGTGTTAACGCTCATCTCTCCGCTCCTCAGAAGAATGTTTCCTCTCGGAGATAGGACTTGTCATAAACAAGTCGGACCCCTCTGCTGACCTGAGGATTCATCAGCCTCGTTATTTACCTCGAGAATGCCTCAACGAGAGGTTTGCGATGCCTTTTTTTCTCTCGACGTTTCTCAGTCTGCTTAATGAAGGCCTGGGTGGGGGGGTGTGCAGGTTGAGACGGAAACACTGGCTGCTTCAAGATGTGAACAAAGTGGTTTGTTCTGTCATGCCCTCTTCTCTTCATCATGGCTGTTCAGGTGTGAAGTGACGACTCTCTCAGGCTGTGTTTGCACAGGACTGAATTAAATATCACCTGGAGACGTTCAGCTGTGAATATACAGCCGTGTGAACCCGGTTTACTAAATAGAAACTGTGAGAATTCCAGATATCTATTGAGTTTTTGGTTAAGGGTGGGAGTAAATTAGTTTTTATTTTAACATAACTGACCGCTTAGTTAGCACATATCTTGGTCATAATCCTACTTTAAAAAAACCTGATCCCTATATTAAAGTTTCAATTCAATTTATTTTGTACAGCCCAAAATCACAAATCAGCCTGAGAAGGCTTTACAATCTGCACAGCGTACGACATCCTCTGTCCCAGGACCCTCGCATCGGACTAGGATGCTGCGATCAGTTTAAAAGTTCTTCAAAAGTAAATGTCCAGCTGTCCTTGCCACCTAAAGACCCTGGTTTATGTAAACTGACGTGAACATTTCTCACAAATGTTATGGGGTTGCAAGATGATTAATGAGAAGGAAAAAAAAAGTTCTGTCACAGAAATGAGTTTGTTCTCTAAACCGTTGCTTCTTTTGGTCTCATGAATTATTTTAAAGGAGTCTTTAAACAAAAACAAATGGGAAAAACGGCCCTATTCAGTCTTTTGTATTTTAAAGATTGAATATGACAAATTGTAAAATTGAGCACCTGTTTCTAATTTTTGCTAATTCCATTATGCTGGGATTTTGGAGGAACTGATGAATTACATGAGACATAATACTGTCTGTGCAAAGAGGGAATGTTTCTCCCTCCGTTGACCTCATCCTTTTGGTTTTTTCCCCCCTTCTACAGCATGCGGCCGTGGTTTCTACAAGTCCTCCTCCCAGGACCTTCAGTGCTCTCGCTGTCCGGCGCACAGCTTCAACGACCGCGAGGGCTCCTGGCGCTGCGACTGCGAGGACGGCTACTACCGGGCGCTCTCCGACCCTCCGTCTGTGGCCTGCACCAGTGAGTCAGCAATGCCGTTGCTCTGCAAACACAGCGCTTGATGGGATGTGAATTTAAACAGCAGCACATGCGAGGGGGAAAAAAAACAAACACACACACACACACACACACACACTCCAGAGCCTGCGGCAGACCTGTTCCGTCAGTCCGCATTGGCCTCATGAAAGCCCCAGATGTGTTCCGTGGCGGTTCCTCTGCCTCCCAGTGTGTCATTATAATTATATTTGCAGGCTTTGCGTGTCTGTTTTCTGTCTTAGCTGGTTGCTAATGATGAGAGGAGCAATTTGCCATTTCCCGTCTGAAAGATTGCAATTACAGTCGGCAGCGGCAGCCCAGGCAGTGCCCTACGTCTTCATTTGTCCTGGCCAGTGTTACGCTTATGTGACAGCCATTGATGGCTTATTTACACAGGCTGCCGGGGGGGGGGGAATTCAGTCTGAAAGGGGTAGGGCTGATTTGCTCCAAATCCATTCTCAAACGAGTTTATTTCAAGGTGCTCCTGGATGGGTCTCTCCCCCCCCCCCCCCCTGTTGCCTTCAGCTACTGAGCAACAGGGAGTGTCACACCCCAGCAGGGCAATGTTAGCACTCTGCTTTATCTCTGGAGGTAAACAGCACCCCCTAAACATAATCTCTGCACCTTATCTGTGTGCCGGCTTCATTCTACTGATAATGTATCGCAGGACTCCTGGAGAGGCCCACAGGCTTCTGGCTGCTAAATACGCACCCTTCTTGACATATGTACCAAGAAGCAGCGCGGGGCTAAACTAACATTTTAAGACTGCGGTCATTTATTTGGCAGCATTTTTGTGTGGATGAGAAACAACAAAATCAGATATGCCGTACGCAGGGTAAATCAGCATGCCTTGTTCTCATCCCGAGCAGTGCCGCTTTTTTTACCCCAGAAAGCCCAAAGTAGGCCAAGTCAGAATCTCTATCGTGTGTGTGTGTGTGTGTGTGTGTGACGGAGAGAGACTGCCGGTGAGATATTATGCAAACAGTGGAACGTCACGAGAGACACGTTGTCTTGTCTATGCATTGAATCGGAGATTAAAGAGAGGATTACACAAATTGGAGTTTGGATTTGATACTGTAAATGTCACGTATGAAAGGATTCCTTGTCATTCACGGGCGTCTGTGAAGCGCCTCGTTGCTGCCAAACTCTTTCCAGTTATTTACAACTCACTGTCAGCGCACAGGTGTGTTCTTCGGTCATGAATTATTTGGCACGTGTCTCGGAAGTTTCCACTTTTCCTCAGATTTGTTTGAATTCCGCTATTAGTTGGGAAAGTAATGTTTCCGCCGGCTGTGGGTTCATTAAAGTGAAAGTGTATTGTTGAGAAAAACACATTAAAACAGGCAAGATAGAGGGGTTGCAAGGAAGAATAGATCATTACTTGGATAAGAAAGTTTTCTCTCTCGTTGTTAATGAGCTATGGTTTCCCACAAGCATTAGCTGTCGTCAAACTATCAAGCTTCTATTTTGCATTTTAGCTGGCTGTTTTCGTCTCCATGCTTGGAAAAGTTGGAAGAAATGTGCTCAGTATTCAGGTCCGTCTCAAACTGCCTCCCTCAGCACATGAGCAAGTGGACTGTCCAGAGAGTCAGCCATCTTCTTTTTGCATTGAGCTACTGTGGGCTGGATTTACCACAAAAGCAGCAAAAATAGAGTGCCATCCCACACTACACTTGTTGTAGTTATGTTTTCAGCATATAGAGTGTTCCTCTGGAAAACAGATACTTTAAATGCATGCTGTTCAGACTGAAATCGCATTTTGGTCCCGTCATGCCATAGAGAAGTGGACGTAGTCACCTTGACGTCACCCATTTGGTTTGTGGACTACAATTTTGAGGCCTTGAGTAGCTCAAAGAATAAAAACTGTCACTTAAAAAGTGTGCCACGAATCAATTCATTCCCCTTAATTGCTGAAATCAATGTCCACACCATTCAGTCCATGTAAATATAGAAATAAATAGAAATTTCAAAAAGAGTTCAAGATATTAGTATCATTTAACATATTATTACTTTCAGTTCTGTGCCCTAAACAAGGTTAAAGACATTTGAACAACAAATACTGGGTCTTGACTTGAGACTTGACTTGGTAGTTTTAAGTATTTACTTGGGAGTTGACTCGGGACATGGGAGTTGCCTGTCTTGACTTGGGAGTTGCCTCTCGGGACTTGCCAGTCTTGACTCGGGAATTAACTCGGGACTTGCCTCTCTTATGTTAGGACTTGATTTGGGACTTGCAAAACAATGGCTTGGTCCCACCTCTCCTTTCTGAGCATGTCACAGAATAACATTTCAATGGTTTTATCTCAAATGTAAACAAAGAAGGAACCGCTGTGTAGCTCAGCAGGAGAGATGTTTGTTGTCTGCTTGTGGTGAGATTCCTTTTGCTCTGAGTCAGACCTCCTAATGATGGTGTCTTTGAAGCAGCTGAAGTGGCATTATCCCATAACAGTCACTTGTGGCTGCAGCGTCTGCTGTTGAGAAATAGTTATGAGCTACGGAGCTAGTGTAGTCTCATGGTTTTCAGACAAGTAAAAAAAATGTCTGATGGGAGAATTTGTCGAAATTGAAAATTAGTCTGGTGAATGAAATCCATGACCTCAATTTGAACACATAAAGTTCTGACAAAAGGGTCCAGATTTGTCTCTTGAACTCCATGCCCATCGCCGTCTGACACAAACAAGGACATAACTCAGGCTAAGCTAATTTGAGGCCGGCCAATGACCACAAACCAGCAGTCTCTCTGCGGAGCGGGGAGCCAACCATACACATCCCGTTCTACAGAGACAGGTCCATTACTCACTTCTCCAACCATCCTCATCAGACGTTAACGCTTCACTCCAACATCTCCCGCTGAACAAGGGCAGGACTCGCAGTAGAAAGTTCCCACTTCTTTGCAGTGTCCTCTGGCTGTTCCCCTCTGGGTAATCACCTTGGCCAAGTAGCGTAGTAATTACTGAAGTTGCCTAATGCACACTTTCCATTATTCATTTTCATTAACTCTGGGTCTACACTTGATGACCCCCATACCATTATATGTAAATATGTATTTTTAACTTGTATGAATAGCTTCGCTCTCCTCCTCACGCCTTTCTGTACGTGCATTTCCTCATTCATCGCTGGATTAAGTCACTGTGACAAATAAGTCACTGTGATTTTTTTATTTCGATTTTTTCAAGCCTCATCCAGACCAGGAGTGCATTGTAATTGAAATTGAATTTGTACTGCCTGAACAAATAGCATGATTGACAGATTTTATTTTTTCATTTTTTAAAATAGGAGTTTGTAAAGCCTCCGTATCGTAGGCCTTAGCAAAACAGTGAGATGGATCTCTGGCACACAGAGATTAAGAAAGTGTCTACGCGGATTTGACAGGAAATGAGACGAAGATGTAATGTGGGGACATGGAAAGCTGAATCGGCGCTGAATAAAGATGAGGGAAGAAGTTCCAAAAACATATAGCTCCAGATACATTGTTTCCCATGCGGTTCGTTTGTAGAGAGAGAGAGGGGGCGGAAGGATTAAAATGTGTTGGTTTTTTTTGGAACGTTTGTCTACGCCATTCATATGCAAAGTTGGGAGAAGAGGAGAGATGTACGTGGGGGTGGGGGGGGGGGGGGGGAGGCGGCCATGGGGAGGCGTTTTCTCCAGGGGCTACACGCAGGCAGGAGTTGTTGACAGGTCGGGGAGTGGGCATCAATCACGCAGCAGCTGTGAGCGGCGCTGGTGCAAGCTGGGGGCTGAGAGGGGCAGTTGTGAGAAGTCGTCTCCTCCCGCCTCCCCCTCCCTCCCCTACTGCAGCGGCCCATAAAAATGTGCCACCTCGACAAGTTGACGTCCTTTAGAGGGTCCGTCCTGCCCGGAGTTGCTAGGGGACTGTGGAAGGGCTGCTGAATGTAGAGGGCTAGTGTTGCTACCAGATGTCAGAAACCCTGGATTCACATAAACGGGAACTCGAGTTTAATCCACAACGCCTCGTTTTTGTTGTGTTTTTCGGGCATCATGCTATACTTCCAACTGCTGCGCCATTGAGAGTGACGCAGACACTTTCACTTCTAATAGTGGGAACTTGTTGTCGCAATGTCGCCATGCTCCCACATTTCTGCACACACATCAGTCAGGGCTGGATGAGCCAACGACGAGGCCCTGGAGTAACGATGAGCTGTGGGCCCCGCCCCCTTTTCTTTGGTTGCATTTTGATTGAAAGCAACTTCATTTCAGAATATGTTCTATGAAAGCATTTTGCCAAATACGATGCTGAATCTAACTTTTGACATAGGACCCTTTGATAAGACAGGACCTCATGGGTCCGGGCCTCAGGGCAGGTACTCACTATGCCCAGTAGGAGATTAATCCTTCCACCCATTATCTTTATTACACCATTTTTTTTAGTGAGTACAAAGTTGACTTAATATAAATAAAAGCTAAGACAAAAAAATAAAAATAAGACCCAGGGTGTAATAAACCAAAGTGATCCTTTAAGATCAGTGCTGGGGAAAAAACACACAACGTATCACCAAAATGACCAAATCTGAATGCCACGCTAACTTCGACCTAATGAAATGTAAAATATCCTCATCATATACGAGAGGCCATGCAAATATGGTTTTGCAGCCACTTCACTCACAAGATTCTCAGATGTCCTAATATTGGGTGGCATTTCAGAGTTTATGTAAAGACATCCTGCTCACAGTTTGACCAATCGCAGTGGTCATTTTTCTAAGACTGAAAACAAACGTGTGTTGTTGAAACACAGTCTTGGTGATGATTTCCTTTTTTTTTATTCCAGTCCATGTGCCATCATGCTGATTCCAGAGGCTGAAATGGAATTTTAGCTTGCGCGAGCAGCAAATCCATTACTGAATTTGGCATGGCACTGACGTGGTGTTGAAATTTTTGTTTATTACGACGACATCCGGAGAGCCTTCGGCAAAAACAAATCTTCGGGCTTCTTCTCCTCCCCTGCATGGCTTCCCCTCACGCGGGTCCTGCCGCAAGCCTCATCATTAGAGGCTGGGTCACGGGGGGGTTCGCAACACACATTTGTAGAGCCGGGATTACCTCATGGGCGATTTGAATGCTGTTCACCCCTGCCGCCCCCGTACCCACCGCTCCCCAATTAGAGCAGAGCTGGCTAATAGGCTGTGGAGGGCTAAGGCCCCTGAGCACCTCTCAAGGCAGATAAGCGCCGGATTCTTCTCTCCTAAGCTTGGATTTACTCAGGTCTCACAACTCTGTGGAGGTGGGGCTTTGAAACGTGACCTTAAAAAAACAATCTAATACCATACTATATTTTCTATATGGTAGATTATTAGATGTAGGGGAGACTTTGGTGCAGCCGAGGTCTGTTTTCTCACCAACTTCACGCACTGGAGTACTTTGTTTAGTCCACAAAATCACAGGTTCTGCTTTAAGAAACCTGCGCCACGTTAGCATGCAAAGTGCAGGAGAAGCAGACCGTGCATGCACGTATTCCATATTTATTGCGACAAAAACACACAGCGGCAGCGTTCGTGAGGGGAAGCCAGTGATTGAGACATTTCAGGCTGTGGGGGCTCCGGCAGGCTAATCCGTGAAATGAAACTTGACTGGGAGGAGGGGTGAGAGAGGAGAGAACACGAAAAGATAAGAAAGAGTGGGGGCAGTGAGAGACAGAGAGGAGAAAAAAAGAAAAGAGTGAAAAGAAGAGGAAGAGTGACGAGCCCTTGAGCTGTAAGGATGAGCAGACAGACAGACAGCGGAGGGGCTCAGGCTGCAGCGATAATCCGTGCTGTAGGTGAAGTGGGGGCAGAGTTTCATATTCCGAAAAAGTCCAGACAGAGCATATTCTGACACAATTTTGACGCCAAGGCAGAGGAAGAAGAAAGAGAAGATGGGGGTTCAGAATGCTTCTGAAAAGTGGGTAGTATGATTGCGTCATCTCACCGCGTCACCATGTTTGTACTTTGTTTTCCCCCCAGGTGTGTGACGTTCCGTGTCACCTACGTGATGGAAAAACAGGGTTAGCGTTAAAATAAGTGTGTCCACGCTGCCGATCGCGGTGACAAACTGCAGAGTCATTTTTCCTAGGAATGAATGCCGATTGTGATCTTTCCTACTCAAAACAAAAGACAGATTTTTAGCGGATGTTTATGGGTTTGTTTTGTCCAGTGGGAACTTTATACTTTCGGTCTTTGTCATTTATCATGTGCTCCATGAATGATTTTGCGGTGACAGCTTGAGAGAATAGTTCAAACCCTGCCTAGTCTTTACTCTCCTCTACATATATTGGGATTGTCTTTTACGAAAAGTTACAAAACTTGTAGGACCCAGCCGCCCGCCGGAACCCTTGATTATCTCCTTGTAGGCCTTGCTAAGCACCCGATCCCGTCCGACCCCCGCGCATCCCATTCGCTACCGCCCACGGAGGCTTAGCTATTGTAGGCCATGTGGATTGATCGGATCACATCTGAAAGGTGCATTTACATCTGTACTTTCTTGTGATCAAGTACTCTCCGATTGCAACCCGATCACCTAAAACGCATTTCTATGTGAGGTGTCGAGTGGGAAAAGAGGATGTGAGGTGATCTGACAAGCATTCCGTTTGAAGCATTCTTTAGGAGGGACAAAGCCTGCAAGGTAGTGTGCATCTGAAAATAAAAAACGAAACAAGGTGTCACACAGATCCAGGGTCAGTCCAATCTCATTTCCTTTCGCCTCTGGTTGCCGAGATGTCGTCGCTTTGATCTGTGGCACCTGAGACCCAAACGAGAGTGGCACGGGCGAAATGAGGTGCCGTCACCGCTCACCGGTGGCAATGGAAATGCGGGGGTAAATATTCAGACTGGGAAGGTGCGTGGGCCCCCCGTGGGCCCCCTTTTTGTTCTGTGGAAGATTGAGAGCGCGGTTCGATTTGTCAGTGCCGAGGCTGAAGTGGAGTGGCGCTATCAGCAGTCACTCCTCTCTGCTTTACCTGCCACAGGTGGCTCTTTCATCTTCCCAGTCCACAGTCTGTTATCTCGCCCGATAATCATGAATATGGATGTCTCCCGTTGAGCCCTTGCTTCTAAAGGGTGGAACAGGGAAAAACAACCTAAGTGCTGCATTAATGAGCCTGGATATTGTGGTAGCAGTTTTGGGCTCGGTGCATATGCATGACCCATTTTCTTAAGTTAATGTGACAAATTGAGCGAGTGGAGAGGTCCCTCCCCGACATTTCGCTCAAAGAGTGTTTCCTGAGAAAAGCAGAGCGGTTTTTGAATTCTCCCAGAGAACAGACTGAAGATGTTCTTAGCGCATTCATAAACAAAGAATACAAGTCATATAATCTTTACTGCGTTGGGGGGGGGGGGGGGGTTAATCCATATCAACATCTGGGGCCATAAAAGCCAACAGCCTGGAATTTGAAAGCAGCAATTTGTTATTCATTGTTTTACGAGATGAGCTAATCTCTCCGCTGTTACGTGAACATTTACAGGCAAGCGCTTTGTGGTCCCGTGCACTTTTGATGGCGCGGAGCTATTCGTTATTGTGTTTCAAGTGAAACTCTGTACGGCAGTTACAGGGCGGTGATAATCCAGGTTTAAATCTTGTTCATAAATCCTGTGGGCGAGTCGGGCTTTGAGTTCTTTTTTTGGAGGACGTTAACTTTAAGTGTCCTGCTGTCTGTATGATATAGCTCTCCCAAGCAACCCTGTAAAGCCATCATCTCCTGCTGGGTTAGCTGTATATTTTTGGAGAACTGGAAGACTTGGGGAGTGACGGTTGCTTCCCCTCCGTGTAACCCTGTCGCAATCATTTTCATAGCAGCTGCAGATTTGATGCCGTTAAGAATCGGTATGTAAACAAAGCACTTAGTCCGTCTGGATGAATCAGCGGCTATGTTGCACTGTAAAAAAAATTAAATAAATAAATGGTCAGGTTGTTTCAAAATGCAATCATAAGGGTGCACCCTTCAGCTCTATGGAGCTCTTAAGCGTCGTTCAGCTGCTGTTTTTTATATAACATGTACATATTTGGAACCCATTGGCTATCTGCGTAGCACCAAACAGCAGACAGACCTGCATTAACAGAACATAACTGCATGTCAAAGCTACTTTATTGCCATATCTGCGCCGTGTCCACTGAATGTGTACTTTTGGACCCCCAAAGTGGTCCAAAGAACAGATTGCAAGTAGCTTTGACATTTTGTGTCAACTGAAACAGTGCTTACTGATTTTGCTTGATTCAATTTCATCAAAATGTAACTGGATTTAAGAATGTAAGATAGAAACATAAGGAATTGAGGACAGCTAATAACTGTCAAGTTACATTTACAAGAGTTGCGAGTAAGTTCCTGCTAAAGCAGCTTCAAGTAGGATTACTTGTATGTCACGCTGCCGAATTATTGCAGCTTTTGCTGTGCTAGCAGCCAAATAAGGTGAGGATCAGTGCTCGTGCATGATTACAACAGCATGTGGCTGGTACTGTGTGTGTGTGAGTCATCATGACAGAATGTGGTCCTGGAGACACCGACTGTTGCAAGAATGACCACAGAGGTTTTGAGTACTTTATATGTCTGTCTGTGGACAGATTTTGTCAACAATGAGAGCGTCACAACTCTCCAATGAAATGATTCCCCCTTTGAAACTCTGGGCTCCACTCCTTCATTTCACCAGCCCTCCAACACTGACCTTGTGCCTGCCAGAGCTGACTTCTTTTCAGTGTAGGCTACCTGTACTAGTCTTATTATAATTGAGTGTCAGTATTTGGCTCTAGGGCTGGAGCTGGCATGCACTGTAGTTTGTGTGTGTGTATGTTTTTTTTCCCTCTTCTTTCTCAGAGCACAGAGTTAGTCATTGCACACTCTTGGCTGTCACTTTCCTTGGCACTCAGTTGTTTCATTCTGGCTTCCTCTGTGTCCACCTTTGACAGGACCTCCCTCCGCGCCACAGAACCTGGTCTACAACATCAACCAGACCACCGTCGGCCTGGAGTGGAGCCCGCCGGCTGATACGGGCGGCCGCAATGACGTCACCTACAGGGTCATATGCCGGCGTTGCAGCTGGGAACCCGAGGAGTGTGTGGCGTGTGGGCCCAATGTGGGATACTCTCCGGCGCAGTCGGGATTAGTGGACACTTACCTGAGCATCGTGGATCTGCTCGCCCACGCCAACTACACTTTTGAGGTGGAGGCCGTCAACGGCGTGTCGGACCTGAGCCGCACGCAGAGGCTGTTCGCGGCGGTCAGCATCGCTACCGGTCAAGCAGGTAAGGGCTCTTACGTCAAACTAAAGAGCATGTTGTAACTTGTTTGTTTGATCCGTACACAAACAGAAATGTAAGAGTTCCTCAACAATGTCTGGGAACCTGCCCTTAAAGTGCATATATTTGTTTTCACACATTTCTTTTTGATAATGGATCAAACGTACAAGATACAACGTGTTCATTTGGAATCTTTAGAAGTGCTAGCTGCTAAGCTAGGCTAACCTTGTCATTTCCTTTCACACAGCAACCCTGTCTGCTACAAAATTACGTTCCCATGCAACTCAACTGCGTACTCAATTATGTTTAGAGGGAAACATACTTTCTCCCGGATTACAGTTTTAAACGTTGTAAATTGAAACAAAACACAAAACGTAACAAATCTACGTGGTTCTGTTCAGTAAAAACATATCAGTTTGGCTTAAAGGATTTAAGATAAGTCAAAAAATACGACTTTTGGTTTCACAGAGGACATGGACAGCGGCCTCCTGTGTTAAAGTCCTGTGTTTGTTTGACTCATCCATCAACCCCAACCTCTTTCCCAAGGCGGATCTCCACTGACTACGATCAAAATCTAATCTGTAATACGTCAAAAAGAAACATTAACGTGAAAATGTTTCCCTTAAAATGTAACTGAGTGAATAACCACATATCCCATAATGTTTCTCCAGAAGCTAGAGTTGGAAATGTTTGGCTCACACCAGTCTGTGCACAGTTCACCCTCTGCTCCAGCTGAGCGAGCATTAGGCGATTGACAATTTAATGTTGGAAACATCTCATATGCAAACTACGATAATGATTCCCCATTAGCATTAATGACCATAGTCTGATATTATCCAGTAATATATCCACTATGCATATTACCCAGAGTAATTTAATGTGTGTATCAGCACTACAGTAGCCAACATTATTATCTTAGCAACGATGCAGTCTCCCAGTGGTACCCAAAGAGCTGTATTTGCAGTGCAGTCTCGAGGGAATGCAGCGTAATTAAAATGCTGTATTTTATGGTGACAAACTCTCAAGCTCTTCTTTTTTTATTCATTATTTCTATGGATCCACCCAACAAGATTCCCTTTTCATGCTCGAGCATCCATGAAACACAGTTGGCCTTAAAGAGTGCTGTGACTATGGTGATTAAAATAGAGAGAACTTAAGCTCTAGCTGGATGTGCAAACTCTGTCCATTCACGTCATCGTTTCAATGTTAAGTTAAGCTGCTCACCTGTCGTACATCTGCAGAAGCTGTGGTTTGCAACCAAAAGCAGTTTACTGCACATGATATATCTCAGTCGACTAGATGTTCGCATCCGGGAGAGATAGAGACAGAAAGAGAGGCATTTAAATGAATGGATGTGTGTTGGATGCGGTGTCGGGGATGATGCATTTCGCCGCGCTCGATTCGTGACATAGACACGCGCTGGAATGTGCCCGAGGGTTTGCCTGGCCAAGGGCACGAGGATGGCGGGGAAGAGGGCAACCTGGAGGAAACAATAGAGAGAAAAAAACAACAATTAACACACGCTCTTTGAGAGTCTCGTGATTATACGTGGCACGTTGACAACAGACTATTACTCAGCTAACCCGGCGGAATATTTAGCCATTAGCCGTTGTGAAGGCGAGCGGTGGGCTTGGCCAAGATGGTGTCATGTTTATTATTTTGAGTAAGTGGCACCATTTAAAGAGCTTTAACACTGTAATCGGTGTAATTGGTCAGCATGGATGAGGCAGCTGAGGATTTTGTTGGCTAATTCCATTGACATCCAATGTGATCATTTTCTTTTAAAGAAAACATCCCTTGGTTTTTTTTCCCCAAAGTATTTTTTTGGTATTTGGGCGGACAAGTCTCTGAAACACTATTCAGGCCATGATACTAAAACACCTCTTTGAAACTCGGAGTAATCATATTCCTTCTGCGTTAGCAGCTCTTGAAGGCAAGTCGGCCCACTCCATCGATTCAATTGACAGAGTGATACCTTTTAAAGCAGTGGCTCTCAACCATTTGTGTGTCAAGGACCTCTAAATTGAGGCACAAAAGGTCACGGACCCCCATTTGATTTTGCTTCAGGGACCTCCAGCTGAAAAGATATTTGGTTGTTAGATATGATTAAGACCAGAACTACAACTACAGTTGGAGGAAGTGAAAACTATGATCATAATAGTCACTCTTATCAGTTTTAATCACATTGGGCTCACCTCTATAGTTAATTTATTGGTGACAATAAACTATTCCCCATTCCCCCTTTCTCCATCAAGGACCCCTGGGGGTCTAAGTTCTGAGAAAGGTGGTGGAGCTCAGCAAAACTCCGGCTGAAGTGCAAGTCAATAGTCGGCAATCGGTTGGTATTGACGGCCGTGTGATGTCTCTCTCTCAGTTTCCCGTCCTGGGCAGACATTAGCTCCACACTGCCTGGCTCATTGTCCTGCTCGCCGAACCCTCACCGCGTCCAGCGCTCTCTGGCCTGTTAGGGAACGCTCGAGCGCTTTGTAATTGGAACGCCGCAGCTTCCTAAAACAATCGGCCCCTTCCTGAGTGAGCGTGCAGGACCACTCGATAAGAGAATGACTGCATTATTAAAGCTTTTATGGCTCATCATTCAGAATTGATTAACCTTTCGCGTGGCGAGGCGCCGCGGCCTCATAGCACCGACAGAACCTTAAAAAAGAATAATAAAAAAAAAAAAAAAGAGAAGCTCCCCATCTCCTGCATGGTAATCGCATTTATGGGCGCAGTAGCTCGGGACTGGAGGGGATGAACACGCAGTGTGTGAATGCAGATGGCGATCCATCTGATGAGGAATTCACACCTCCCCTAATTACACCAAAGGCGAGGCGAGGCTGGAGCTGCAACACGAGGTGCTGAGTGCTTATTGTTCCCAGAAACCTAATTACCTCTCAGCTCCATCTTAAATGAGTTTAAGTGGAGGCTGCGAGTTCATAAGCTTGATTTCTCCAGCTCCGTCCTTGCGGCGGTTCAATAGGGATTTTTTTGTTGTTGTTTTTTCCCGCCGTCATGTTGAGGATTTTCGCCGTCCTCTCCGCCGCCGTATGCTGGAAGTTGAGAGCGCGTTTCAATCAGCACTTCATTGTGAGTCGACGGCGCGGCAGAGCCGCCCCCTCGGAGGGCCCCCCCCCCCCCGGGCCTTAGCTTTCCTCAAGCGCACTCGTAAACAGGGCCTTTTGTTCCTCCGGCACACTTGCGAGCGGGCACTGCTCATAGAGCGAGCGTTAATATTTATTCAAGCGGATGTTCACATCTCAGAGCCAGGAAAAATCGCTGTGGAGAAGGGCACAGCAATAGCATTTTAAATTGGTTATGGGAAAGGCTACAGGACCTGTGTGTGTGTGTGTGTGTGTGTGTATACACCACCAATGAAATGGGGTTTAGGTGCGATCAGCAAGAGGTATAAACAATATAATGGGTGAAAGGAAGAGCCTGTGGAAATTGATTTTAATGTTGACTGCTTGTGTTAGCCAGCAGCCCAAAGCCTGTTACACTCAGATAGCAACTTGTACAACAGTTGAGCTGTGCTCTGATGTCTCCACAGGCTCCACGGGTGAGTCAGAGCAGAAAACAGTGGGTGTGACACAGCGAATGGATTATTTAGACTATGGCGAATTTCGACCAGAAGTGCCTCAGAGTGCCTGGGTTGTCATTCCAAAAGACTTGATGAGATAAAGACATCATTTCCAAATTCTGACACGTCTTGGTGCGAAGCCCCTGGCGATGCTTGCACAATGTTTTTCCACCTATACCACACAACGGAGTGTGATCTGTCACTGTTGGATTTAAAAAATGTGTTTTCCACTGAAGCCTTAAAAGAGCGACTTAAAGGGGAACTGTGGCCATTTTCAAAAATCCATCCATGTTATTCCTCTGGTGTAAGACAGTCCAAGAATATTAGTAACTCTCTCCCCACCCCTGAAAACTAGAGTGATAAAACTCAAGTGTGTGACGTCATGAAGTGTAAAGTGTGGATTTGCTCCACAGACGATTGTGGGTCGGAATAGCCAGAAAAAACATGCTGGCTTGCAATACTGCAAAATGCGACCTGGATGCAGTAGGACATCCTGGTATTTTTTGGCATACTGCATTTGACAAGCTGTGTATTTGGACGTACTAAACCCTTTACTGGCATACTACATAGTATGGTAATATTGGTATTGGTACGCAAAGTGTGTCAGATAGTTCCTCACTTTTCTTTCCACCAACATTAGTATGTATATTTATTTAAACGTGAGAAAACATGGTAAAACTAGGTGATAGGCTTCCCCGTCCCTACAGGCAATGGGAAAGGAGTCTTTCTGTTTTTGTTCTGGTGTGTCACGTTTGGATCAAAAGCGCTACTAAACAGTGAAAATGTTATGGTGGTTAACTCTTTTATACATTTATTAATTAATCAGTGTCTCTTTTAAATCCTCCAACCAGAGGTGTTGATTGTTGGAACAGTAGAAAGACTTGCAAAGAGGGTTTTAATGAGTTGGATTGTATTAGCTTGTTTTTGTTTCTGGTGGCTTTTAGGAGAGCATATTAATAGTTTGTACTTTAAGAAGTAATTCCAACTGTCCTAATCCCGGTTGATTTCATTTATCATACATTCACTCCAATTTGCATCACGCACCGTCGCGCCCGAAAAGTGGCTACAATTAGCGCTTCCACTCGGGTCTCATATTTCCATCACTCTGAATCGGAGCTGGAGCCGATAAATACCTGTGGCTACTGCAGAGCCATTTGTCCCCAGGAATGAATGCTGAGTGTAACCTTTCCCCCTAAAATACAAAAGCCAATGTTAGTGTGTGTTAAGTGGTTGTTGTTTTTTTGTCAAGGGAGAACGGGACTATAGAGGAATCTCAAAATCAGCAAACACTTGTGTCTTCTGTTTCTTTCGAGCCATCCGCCGCTACATTTGTTTTGCAACACTGTGAATGCGAGATGATGTTACACTGCAGTCCTCCCTCAAGTTCAAAGCTAATTAAACATTCAGAGAGAACAGGCTATTCCCTTTA